AGCATAACAATTAGGAAATTAGCTAAAAAAAGGCTGAAATTAGCACAAAAATCAAACTGCTGAAAAGGCAGGGGAAAAGCTTAAACAACCAGAAAGAAGTGGAAGTAGTTGAAATGAACTAAAAGTGGAATTAGCTGAAAAAGCTAAAATTGGCATAAAAACTGTTAAAATAGTAGCTGAAATTGCAGAAAAAAGTTTGAGCATAACATGCAGGGATTAGCAGAACAAAGTTAATTGAGCAGCAGGAATTACCACAAAAAACTAGAATTCCTCTGAAAACAGCTGAAAATGGCTAAAGAAATGCTAAAAAAAAGGTAGCTGAAAATGTAGAACAAGCTTAAATTAGCAGAAAAAAGCTGAAAGAACACGTTTGCCCAACTATGCTGAAATAAGCAGAAATGAATACAAAAAGGCTGAAATAAGCACGAACAGCTGAAAAGTAGCTAAAAAGGCAGAAGGAAGCTTAGAAAGTGGAGAGAGCACATTTTTGCTGAACTGGGCTGGAAAAAGTTTAAATGAGTGCAAAATATGTGGAATTAGCTGAAAATGCTAACATTAATATTTAAACAGCTAAATAGTAGCTGAAATAGCAGAAAAAGCTAAAACTAGTAGAAATAAGTTGAAATGAGCATAACAAGCTTAAAGTAGCAGAAAGAAGATAGAAGAAGCTCAAAAGTTTTTCAGTTAGCAGAAATAAGCTGAAAGGAGCACAAAACAAGCAGGAAAAATAACCTGCTAAAATTAGCTGAAAGTAGCTGAAAATGTTATAATTTGCACAAGGAAGCTGAAATGAGCTGAACCAGAACAAACTGTAAAAGGATCCGTAAACGGTTGTAAACAAATCTAAACATAAGAAGGATGTAAAATGAACTCAATTCATTTTCAATGAGACAAAAATGCCATAAAATGCTAAATATTTGAAAAAGCTAAAGTTGCACCAATACCAAAAGTCATAGCATCCTTCTCCTGAAAGAGCTGAACGTTTTGTTGAAATAGCTTGAAAACTGTGAGACGAGAATCATGCCGAAAAATGTACGGAAGAACAATGAATCACAAAAGTGTGAATGTTTATGAAACATTCACGCAATGAGCTCAAACAAGATTACAGTTTAATGACAGAAACAGCAACATTAAATGACAATCCAGCTATGATCTCATTGAACTTTAGCTCATTATTTGTAAAACTAACTGAAGTTTTAGCCATTTTTTTGCCTTTTGAGATTCATTGATTAAGGCACTTATCTTAAATAAAAATGGCACCAAAAGTTAATCAGTTGTAGATTTAGATAACGATGAAAATATAAAAATCCATTTAATGGTTCATGGCTCAGTTTGCTAACAAACAGGGTTCACTTCAATAGTTAATACTAAAGTTTTAAGCAAATGTTTTGCATAGTGACCAGCACTTTAAGTGTGTTATGGGCAGGACTCTCAACTACCACCACACCAAATTTTCACTCAATATCTGTAAAACTGAACGAGTTATAACCATTTGCGCATTTTCTATCCAGAAAGTTGTGGCAACCACCTTGAATCCAATGTTAAGATGCGCATCCAATGATTTTTTTTTTTCTAATAGTTTTAATCAAATCTGTCCTGTGGTTTATTAGATATTTTGCCGGCAGCCAGAAACACGAACAGCTCCCTGCTCTCCGCTCAGCTTCTGGCTGCAGAGATCTGGGGATCTGTGTAATATCTGGACCGTGCTGCGTTGACACTCGCCGTATTAATCGCACAGTTTATGGCGGCGCACACTCCCCCCTCTGTAATTGTACATATTTGACTCCTTCTCTCTTTCCTCCCTCCTTCATGTGTAATAGCTGTGATTTAATTTAGCTATTTAACCTGTAATTCTAGCAATATTTATTGAGGAGCGAGGGGGAGAAAATTGGGCCATTAGCCGCCCCAGATGAATACACTGTGATGAAAATGAACGCTGCTAACTGCCAGTTGACCTCTGCACCTTTGCTTTTCTAGTCTCTCTTCCATTTTTTTATTAGCAGCAGCAGCAGTAATTACAGCAAATTGAATTATAGTGAAAACTGGAATCGGTGGGTAATGAGAATTTTCTTCTGTGTGAAAGTGAAGACGGGAGGTTTCACCTGGAGCCAGGATGGACAAATGAGGGAGGAAGAGGAGGAGGAGAGACAGCTTTTGTTTGCAAATTTGATGGTTTTGACATTATATTTAGTGTGACGATCATAATATGTATAAATATTCCTACAGAACTCACTTTTTTCTTTTATTTTTCCGTGTAACTGAATGTAGGCAGAGATCCAGGCTGCATTTCCACACAGAAACCACACACTGATGCCGTCAGCTGTTTATGACTCCTTTTTTCAAGCAATAACTTCTGTTTGCCAAACGTGCTTGCTGTATACATGCATGTTTACTGAGCCGTTTTGCTACTGAGCATTTTTCCTCTTTTTCTCTCATGTAGACGGTTAAATAAACCCACAGAGAGGATGGAAAGGGGCCAAATGTGACCCGGCAATACGAGGAAAAATATCTGGCAAAAACCCTGCAGCTAATTTTTCTTATTCATGAGTAGCTTTAAACAACTTTGCATTATTTATTTGAAAAGAATGACTTGAAATCCAAGAATGTGTTATAATTTAATTAACGCAAGGAAAACGGATCGCTCATTAACCTTTATGCTCTGAACCAGTGGTTCCCAGTACTGGTCCTTGAGGAACACCATCCTGCACGATTTAGTTGTTTCTCTGCTCCAACACATCTGATTTAGTGATTTATTTACTTCATCAAGTTCTGCCGAAGCCCGTTAATCACACATTCTTTCAAATCATCTGTGTCAAAGCAGGGAAACAAAACATGCAGAGTGGTGTTCCTCAAGGAAGAGTGTTGGGAACCACTGCAGTTTGAACTACCTGCTAACATCTGCAGCTGTTTTTGCCACATCTTTTCCTTAAAACTCTTTTTCCAAATGTGTATTGTGATAATGCAACGCACAGAGCATGTTTAGGGCTCGTTCAGCCTGCAAGCCTTAGCGTTTCTATAAAATAATGTAAATACTCATACAACAGGTTATCACTCAGTGTGAGAGGGGGTGGGCGGGGACGTCACACTCAGGGAGAGGACGGAAGGATCTTTGCAGTGTTTCCTTCTTCATTCCATAAAACCCAGAGTTCTGCGTCCAACCAAATAAAGTGATGAGCGGCTCCTTCGCCCTCCCTGTTTTTTTTTTCATATGGAAATAGGAAATAATGGGGTGATTAAATAGAGTCGTATATTAAAGTACAGCTGACATTAGAATTAGCATAATGTGCTCTCGCCTCAGGCTGCATACTTTATTTGCCATCTGCGTTAGACTCCTTTCCCCTGGGAGGGCGCTTGCGCAGGCACACACGCACACACACCTTCTTTCTCTCTCACACACAAACAGACACACACTTTCCCTAAACAAAAACCACGACCCTCTCCTTCCAGTGTGACCAGAGAGGAGAAGCTTCTCAGTGCATTAGTTCACTGACTGAAGCACACTCACACACACATATGTACCCCCCCCCCCCCCCCCCACACACACACACACACACACATACTGACTTTACTGAGCAGACAAGAAGTTTGAAGGAAGATGACAGGAACAGAGGGAGTGAATGTTTCTGTTTTTGAAGTGTTAAGATTCAACACTGAAACAGCTTGTGATTGTGAGAAACATGCAGACAAAAGCTGAGACATGGGGAGCTGTTATTTTCATTGTATGTGTGTGTGTGTGTGTGTGTGTGTGCATGTGTGTTAATGTCCGCTATAATTAAGTCAAAAAGCCTTACAGGACTGTGGAGGAGAACAGCTGTTCCACCTCCTTGCTGCTACTCCTTAATGCAAACACACTCAAGTCTGCGACGAACTGTGAGATTTGCTCATGAATTATTCAGATTTTTATTTATTTATTATTAAATAAATTATCAAATCATAAAATGAACGTGGTGTTTATTTCAATAAAACAAATACTTTTTTTTTACACTTTTAAACTAAATGGAATTCAGTAAATTACAAAATTTGAATTATTTTAATGCATTTTTTTTAGGAAACATTTACATAAAAAAACTTTACATATATTTCATAGTTTTTTTTAATATGCAATTTGTATATATGTATTTGTCAGTATGCACACTGTGCAGATGCACACTACAACACACACATAATGAAACAATTAGAGCAGCATGTGTTTTGCACGCTATCTGAAATTGGAGTACTAGGTCAAGAAAATGAGCTTTCATTGAATAAATACAAGAGAAAACAAGAGCACAATTAGCATGACCTCAGTGTATGTTTGTACTTTGGAAATGTGTGTGTGTGGGGGGTAGGGTGTGTGTGTGTCAGTGAATCCCACAGTATCTGTGTGGTTAATACATTAAAGCAGCTGCATTATTCCTCCAAAGATTCTAAAAATCAGGTTATTATGGTTAATCCCATGTGTCTCAGGGCCCTTTTTTTATTTAATTTGAAATTCTGGAAAACCGTAATTAAACCATGTTTTAGAGTCTCCAGTGAAAGCATGTTAGAAAATAAGAGTTTAAATCCCCTAAAATGTTTTTAAGTGTCATATGCAAGATGCTCACCTTTGGTGTCATTCACTGGGTTAGTAGATGGTTTAGTTTTTTTGAATAGTACTGAATAAGCTAGAATTGAATGATAATGCATCTCTTTGCCTTTAGTGAGACATTCAGCACCCTGTAATTGAGGACTCATCTAAAAAGTTGGCCAGTCCAGAATGAAAATGCACTTGCACTATGTATGTCACTTTTATGTGATAACATGATGAGAAAAAGTTTTTCCAGCTACCGAGCGTATTAGACAGAATGTTTGCTTGTTGCCTAATAACTGAAAAAAGTTCATACACTGCAAATGAGCTGTTAATAATAAAAATATTTAACATGTTAATTCTGTTAAAGTTGCATATGTATTCATCTTAAATGATATACCTCTTAAAAGGAATTGATGTATGAATGATTTATTCTGTCTTTTGTTGTCTGCAGGTGGCAGAGATGAGCCCTCTAACTACATATGTACCACCTGTAAGCAGCCATTTCCCAGCGCCTGGTTTCTGCTGCAGCATGCCCAGAACACCCACGGCATACGCATTTATCTGGAGGCCAACCCCTCCAGCACCGCCCTCACCCCTCGACTCACCATGCCTCCTCCAATGGGCAATGACTCCATCCCTCAGTCTCCACTAACCAGCTTTCTGGGGGACAACAATCCCTTTCATCTACTGAGGATGACGGGACCTTTACTCCGAGAACCACCCCCTGGTTTTGTGGAAAACCGTCTCCCCAACACCCCACCATTTGTCAGTCCGCCTCCCCGCCATCACCTGGACCCCCATCGACTGGACCCCCATCGACTGGAACGCCTTAGTGCAGAGGAAATGGGCCTCATCTCCCAGCACCCGAGTGCCTTTGAGAGGGTGATGCGGCTAACACCGATGGCCATAGAGTCACAGTCCATGGACTTTTCCAGGCGGTTACGTGAGCTGGCAGGGAACACTAACAATGCCACACCACCCCTCTCACCCAGCAGGCCCAACCCTATGCATCGACTATTAAACCCCAATCCCTTTCAACAAGGGCCTAAATCGCCCTTTCTAAGTACCCCTCCTCTACCACCAATGCCCCCAAACAGCACCACCCCTCCTCAGACACAGAACAAAGTCAAATCCTGTGAGTTCTGTGGTAAGACATTCAAGTTCCAGAGCAACTTGGTGGTGCACCGGCGCAGTCATACTGGGGAAAAACCATACAAGTGCCAGCTGTGTGACCACGCCTGCTCCCAGGCCAGCAAGCTGAAGCGCCACATGAAGACCCACATGCATAAGGCTGGATCCATGACAGGGCGCTCAGATGATGGGCTGTCCATCACAAGCTCACCAGAACCAGGAACTAGCGATGTTACTGGTGAGGGCATTAAAAATCGCGATGGGGATTTCCAGGGGGAAGGCAATGAGGAAGAAGAGGAAGAAGAGGAAGAGGAAGAGCTTGAGAACGAAAGTCGACCAGAATCAAACTTCAGTATGGAGTCTGAGTTTTATCGTAACAGAGAAAATGGTGCTAAGCCTCCCTCAGAGGAGAAGTCTACTCTGGCCCTTGAGAAAATGGTGGATGGTGGGCCACTCAACTCCATACAGCAGTACAATAATTTGATAGTCGACAATCGTAAAAGGATGCCCTTCTCCAAGAGGGGATTAGATGGCCAGCGGGACACTGGAGATGACAATTCAGTAGTTGGGGAGATGAACCACCACCAGCAGGAGGAGCGGACAACCATTAATGGCCGGAACTGTGGCTCCGGTGACTCTTTCTCAGGCCTCTTTCCCCGAAAGCCCACCCCCATCACCAGCCCTGCTCTGTCCAACTCCTCAAACAAGAGGATCAAGATCGAGAAGGACTTGGACATTCCCCAGGCTCCCCACATTCCTTCTGAGAATGTGTACTCCCAGTGGTTAGTGGGCTATGCTGCCTCACGCCATTTCATCAAAGATCCTTTCTTAGGCTTCACTGACTCCAGACAATCGCCCTTTGCCACCTCCTCTGAGCACTCATCGGATAATGGCAGCTTGCGGTTCTCAACGCCTCCAGGAGACCTGCTGGATGGCGGCCTATCTGGCCGCAGCGGCACAGCCAGTGGGGGCAGCACACCTCACCTAGGCGGAGGTCCTGGTCCAGGTCGACCCAGCTCCAAGGACGGGAGGAGGTGCGACACCTGCGAATACTGTGGCAAGGTGTTTAAAAACTGCAGCAACCTGACAGTGCACCGGCGCAGTCACACGGGAGAAAGGCCCTACAAGTGTGAGCTGTGCAACTATGCATGTGCTCAGAGCTCCAAGCTCACCCGCCACATGAAGACACATGGCCAGCTCGGTAAGGAGGTCTACCGCTGTGACATTTGCCAAATGCCCTTTAGTGTATACAGCACTCTGGAAAAACACATGAAAAAGTGGCACGGAGAACATTTGATGACAAGTGAGGTCAAAATCGAACAAGCAGAGAGAGCCTAAGGCGCATTTACAAGTTCTGAACCATTCTTGGACTAAAAGAGATAAATAATAAGGGGATATCTGGATACTTTTATATTAATTTGGGGTTAGTTTTGTGTTTTTGAAAAAAAAAAAAAAAAACTACCAACTGAGAACAAAAAGTGAGAGCAGAGATTTTAACAACTGAAGCTGTCTAAACTGCCTCATTTGGCATTCGTTTTTTTTAAACAATCAGTCTGTTGAGTTATAAAATGTGTGGAGCCTTTAACTGTGCAATAATTTCTGTATTTATTGAATTTTGTATTTTGGCATGTGCAGGTACATTTTTATTAGATATATTCTTTTTTGTTTACGTTGGTTCTGCTTTTTTTATTTAATTTTTACTTACACAACATCCTGAGAGTACTTTAGAGGGCAAATGTCCATTTCAGGTTTTTAACTTTGGCCAGTGCTTGTAGGAAATTTGTAATTTAGTGTCTTGAGAAGATGCCAAGTTCAGTCTTCAATTTGAAAGGTAATTGATAATGCTAGAATTAATTTAATTTGTGATGGCGATTTGCGAACAACAATCCTTTAGCATAGTAGCACGAAATGACTCTAAATTGTGTCAAATAACTGGAGATGTAACAGAGTGTCAAAGTTTTATGAAAGAGGATCCCAAGATCCATAAACCCCGTCTCCTCCTGAGAACATCCAAACCAGACAGATACAATTTCCACAAGTCCGCTGCTGACTGGTACCAAGTGCCAAACTTCAACAACGCTATGACAACCATCTCTTGTTTCTTCTCGTTTTCACACCACATCCTCTGTCATTTACACACACACACTGCATTATTGCATGAAGCCGCCTGATGTTTAAGTTTAATTATTTATTAGCATGAAGCTAAGACGAGTCTGCATGGAGAGATTTAGGACAAAAACACAGCGAGCACAGAAACATCTCAGGGTAAAATATAACTACGCTTTTTGTTTTTCGTTTTACCAACTCAATTCTTTATTGTAGTTTGACAAAAACAACAAAAAAGTTTAAAGCAGTTCGATTTCATACAGAAAGGAGAAAATCCTCAAGGTTTTAATCTAATTACATATTTTATTTCATATTTTGACTTTAATTTTCATAGAAATTAGTAAATTGCTAAAACTATTTGAAAAATATTGCTATGAATTTTGAGCTAATTTTAAAAAGTAAAATCTGATGTGATGTTTAATGTGAAATGAAATATTAGCAGATAGTTAGTTCACACGGTGCACAATCTTAAATATGAGATAAAATAACGTTTAATCATTTTCAGCTCAAACTATTTTATAGAATATACGTATATGATAACTCAATCTACTGCTATTTCTGTCGCCCTCAGTAACATTGTAATTGAGTCATTCATTGTAAATGAGCCCTTGTGACTCAATGAGACTAACCTGTATAAATAAAGGTTGAAAAAAAAAAAAGACATCTCTCCACAAAATAAATGAATAAATAAAGAAATGTAGATATTTTTTTGTTGCTGCTTGGCTTTAGCTGCCATCGATGCTGAAGTGTGTTTTTCCTAAAAGAGGAGCACATTAAAAATAATTTTTCCGCTTTCGTAAAAAAAAAACGTATTTCTACAAACAAAAAAACAAATATTTTTCTTATTGTTATTAATTTCAAAACTTGTGCTGAACATTAGTTTCCTTAACATTTAGCCACCCACAAGAGGCAGCCCCCCTTTTGTCATGCTAACAGTTATTAGCATAGAGAAATGTTTGGTAACTAAACATGTTTATTTTCCGAACCCATGTCACATTTTTTTGCATTTTATTGTTGCTTTTTTGTTGTTGTTGAAACATTCCAACTCCATGAAGACAGATTTACTTTACAAGCTGACAGTTCTGAACTAATCAGCAGTTTATGATTTTTCCGTCTGTCGTCTGCAGACATAAAAACAGCCGACGTCGGGACACAAAGGGGTGTGGAGCTTGGGATCTCCTGAGGCTTAAGTGTCAGGATTGTTGGGCTGAGCTTTCCCAAAGCTGGCACTATAAACAATTAACAAATGAATTAACAAGGATAATAACAAATTATTTGGACTATTTCCGTTTTGCTGTTCAAGTCGACATGAGTGTGCCTTGACTTAAGATCTTCCTATTTATTGTCTCAGACAAACTTTTATGAAGCATCAAATTGAAGTTTTAGAACAAACGATGCAAACATGTTATCACTTTATTATGTAATTCGACACCCCAACAGAAAAAAACCGAGAACATGACTTTATGTTTAGGATTATCCAGCACAATTTTAAAGCGTCTCTGTGTGTATATATGTATGCAAATGTACATATAAAGGCACAAACCTTTAAATAGAAATATATAGAGATCTATATCAAACTCCACACTCATGAGAACACCATCAGATCAGGCCTGGATCAGGTAAAAACATTTTAAAATATCAAGGAAGAGAAATAAATCAGATACTAGAAAATATTTCAGTGCACTCTGTCTTAAATAAGTTTACAGTATTATTACAAGGGTAAAAATAATACTTGTGTTTCTGTGCATTATTTTATTTTATTTTGGTTGCTTCAAAACTTTTTTTTTTTTTTTTTTAGAAAGCCAATGTGGCGCTGTGTACATGGATTTTATTTAAATATTATTATTTTTGTTACATTACAGTTTGATTTTTCTTGTGTGTGACATGTTTTAGTATAAATATATACATATAAATATATAAATATATATGACATTTTTTCTGGTTTACTGTAAAAGTATAACAGTATTTGTAATATCCAGGAATGCCAGGGCATTTTACAAAAAAATAAATAAAATAAATACAATAAAAAAAAAAGAAGAACAAACAAACAAACAAAAAAAATGCCGTTCTTTTTATTTTAAACCTTTATTTTACAGTCCAAATTCAACTGTGGGTCTCTGCAACTGCATATTTTTTATTTTTTTTTGTCAATGTAAACTGTAAAAGTCTTAATTTTAAGTAATTTTTTCTTCTGGCTTGGGTGTAAGGAATTGAAAACTAAAAGAAGCCTGAGCTGAAACACTTTGTGGTGGTGCTGGGGGGGTGGGGGGGTGTTTGCTGTGCAGGGTGGAGGGGTTGGTGCTCCATCAGCAAGTTGAGCTTGCTGGATCGTTGCTTCTGCTTTGCAGAAAAAAACAAACAAAAAAAAAAAAAAAAACTGAGAATCCTGACTTGTATCTATTTTTCTTCTTCTGGAATGGATTAATCTTCATGGATGGTTTGAAATACACGTGTAGACACTTACTAAAGAGCTTGTCTTTTATTTGATTTTGTTTAACGTGTAGGCTGTGTGCATCCTTTTGTGAATGAAACTCTGAGGGAGGGTGACTTTACTCCGACGACCAATCCAACTCACAGGCTGCCACGATCTGTTCGTCCGAACAGAACCCGATCACTTTGTATTGTTCTAATGAATCGTGTTGTACAGAATGGGAATTAAACAAAAGCCTTTTAGTGATGAAAAACACATTTTGTTTACCTCACCATCAGTTGTACATAGTTTTCTATGACTGTTTTCATTTTGTTTGTTGTTTTAGTTTGTGATTTCTAACTGGCACTGGCAGTGACCTCCTTGTGTTTGGAGGGATGGGTGTGGAAAAGCTAGGGAGGGGTGGTGGGGCGTTTCGTTTTGTGACCTCCATGTCAGCTTTCAGGCCTCAGCATGAGAACAGAGCACAAATACAAGCTGTTACAATGTTCATGATTTGCTTGTCTGCCTCATTTTGTTCTTTGAGCTGGTTTCACAGAAAAAAAAAAGAGTAAATAATAATAAATAGAGAAATTGAATTTCCTGTGAAAATGCTGAGTGAATGCATATTGCTGAAGAACTTGCTGAATGAAAAACAGCTGAAATTAGCTTAAAACATGCTGAATTGTAGCTGAAATGGAAGAGCAGGGCTAAGTTACCCGAAGAAAGAAAGAACACATATTTGCTGAATTTGGTTTAGATAAGCAGAAATGAGCACAACAATTAGTAAATTAGCTAAAAAAAAGCTGAAATTAGAAACAACAACAAAAAAGCTGAAAAATAGCTGAAAAGGTAAATAACTTAAATTGCCAGAGGAAAGAGAGAGCACATCTGTGCCTAATTAGGCTGAAAGAAGCAGAAATTAGCAAAAAAGTGGATTAAAATACTACTACTACTAATAATAATAATACTTTACTTATAAAGCCCTTTAAAACAACCACAGCTGCAACGAAGTGCTGTACATATACAATCAAGAACATTTAAACACATAAAACTGTTGTTAAAAAAACATTAAGATCAATAAAAACAATAAAAACTGCGCAGAGCAAATGCAGTGTGTGCTAAAAGCCAGTGAGAGAAAAAAAAGTGTTTTTAAAAGAGTTTTAAAACTGGACAGTGAAGTGGCTCGTCTGATGAGAAGAGGGAGATCATTCCACAGTCTTGGAGCAGGAGCAGAAAAAGCTCTGTCCCTTCTGAGCCTCCGTTTGGACCTCACCACCTCCAGGAGCAGCTGATCAGTTGATCTGAGGCACCGAGCAGGAGAGTATGGCAAAAATATGTAACCAAAAAAACCCAACAACAGATGAATAGTAGCTAAAAAGGAAGAAACAAGCCTAAGTTACCAGAAGGAAGTGGAACAAGCACAATTGGATGAAAGAAGCAGAATTGAACACCAAAATGTGGAAATTATCTGAAAAATACAGAAATTGGCAAAAAAAACCAAAAAAAAACCCCACAGCTGAATAGCAGCTACAAAAGCACAAAGAAGCTTACATTATCAGAATGAAGTGGAGAGAGCATATTTTTGCTGAATCAGGCAGAAAAAAAGTTTTAAATGAGTGCAAAAAATGTGGAATTAGCTGGAAAAACCTCTGATTAGCATAAAGCAGCTAAATAGTAGCTGAAATAGCAGAAAAAGTTGAAAGTTGCAGAAATAAACTGAAAGGAGCATAACAAGCTGACATTAGCAAAAAGAAGTTAGAAGAAGCACAAAAAATGTTGTAGTTAGCAGAACTAAGCAGAAAGGTGCACAAAACAGCTAAACAAACAAACAAAAACAAAAACCCCAGCTGAAATTAGCTGAAAGTAGCAGTTTTTTTTTTATTACTTGCACAAGGAAGCTGAACCAGAACAAAACGTGTTTTAAACAGATCTGAAAATATGA